ATGGAGATGGGAGACTCCCCCAAGCAAAAATGCAGCCAATATCTCTTGGGGTACTTTCAGCCCTGTTCACTTGAGATGAGCTACCTGTCTGCCCCATTCCACCACTTAGAATATATTTTTAGAATGTTTTCATGAGGAATACATTTGCCAGTCCTTTATAGATCAGTTACAAAACAGAAACTCTTCCTCACTGCTAGGGAGAAGTGCAGAAGTGGGGAGAAAGAAAAAAAAAATCTTGCCTGTAATTGAAGGCAGGTTGGGAGATGTTCACGCTTTGAAACGCTCCTTCTTGTGAAATGTTTATGAAACACTTTCCACAAACGAGTTATGCAACTGAGACAACAGCTTTGATCATTTTCATCACCAGTGATATATTCATTAGTGTTGGGCTGTTTCCCCCAGAGCGGGCCATGTGAAAATGTCACGGGGAGGGAGTTAAACATGAATATCCCAGCCCCACCATGCCACATCCCATGAACCCAAAACAGATGGTCAGTAAGGAGGTGCCAGTGTACATCTGGGCCAGAACGCCACTTTTTCCATCACTATTCTCTCTCCTACCCTTGGGATATGTGTGGTGTTTTTTGGTAGATAGAGCACCAGAGGAGGGTCAGGAGACCACTCTCTTATTGGAGCTTTGCCAGGGTATGGCTGTATGAGTTTGTACCCATCTCTGAAGTTCTCTGAGCTTCTCTGAGATGGAAGTGTGAACACTCGTTCTCACACGTCCTGGCTATGAGGCTAAAGCCAAGGAGGGATGTATAAAGGGTTTCCACCTCCTCCGAAGGGGCTCTCTCTCCTTCCAGAATGAGGCTGCTGCTTTCTAAAGTAAGTGATGTCAGGGAGTTCACTGGCAACAGAAAAGATAATCATCCCTGATACCTTTTTACCTTCCTGGTCACTGCCCAAGACTCAGTGTAATACCTTTGCACAGCACAGTGGGTGGAGAGGATCCTAAACTAACAAAGCTTGTCGCCTGTCCAATAAGTGGACAGGCTGCTCAGCAGCTGTGGCACGGTAGAGCACCCTGTGGTTGCCCACATCTCCAGGGATGCATCCATCCCGAGTAAAGTCTGGAGAAACACTCCACTTGCATGAGAAGAACCACCAAAGAGACCCTGGAGATGATCTTGACTCCAGGCAGGCTGTGGGTTTGGTTGGGTTTTCACAAGCACGGGGGAAATTGGGTTTTCATCCAATTTGCCTCTGGTTCTCACATTAGAAGTCAATGGGATCCAAAAGTAGTCTCTCTATCTCATCTTCCAGATCCACAGCCAACACCCAGTCACCTGGAAACTTTCCAACCTTTTCCCCTTAACAGCTGTAAAAAGAGATTTTTGTAAACCCTCAAGGACTTTATTTCTTAATTTCTTCATTTCTGACCCCCTGAGAGTATCAAACATGTCTGTTGGAGGCTGTGGGCATTGTCAGTGTATCCTTCTTCCTTCCTGTTGAGCTCAGCTGATGGAGACCACGGACTAAAGCTTAGATGTAAGAACCTGTCATCAAGAAAGAAGTCTCCTTTATTGTCTTTCTATTTGCTTTGTTTAGGATTGTATCCTTTGGGGTTACCTATCAGTACTTCACAGCCAGAGAGTAATGAATTATGAAAAATAAAAGATTCCATATCCAGAGTAACTATAAAGAAGATAAAAATAAATAAATAAACATTGTAAAAGAGTAAAAGGTCGGGCAAACAGATCAGAAAAATAATGCAGAGCGTTGTCAGAAAGCCCCAGACTAACACCCAAAGGGTTTTTCTGCTATCAGGCACTTGGTTTTTACAACTGGGAGGTCGGGAGTGCCCCCCAAAGAGTTTGAAGGGTAATTGATCCAGGAAGCAGATGAAAGGGTGAGTTTTCTTTTATGATGGCACTGGTTTCTGAAATTAAGTGTTCCAGGAAGACCTGGCACAGATTCTAACAGATAGTACCCAGGTTGGAGGCAAAGCACATGTTTTCAAGCTCTGTCATAGCTGCCTCTCCTTATCTCTGCCTTGTGCATAATGAGTCTACAGAGGAACCCTGCCTCTTGCCTCTGAGATGGAGCTGGGCCAAGCTGCCAGAGGCTGTTCCATCAGCATGATTTTACCTCCAGTGCTCCACGTTCTCTCTCTGTCCCCCTTCCTCCATCCTGCCTCCCCAGGACCCTTTGGGATGGCGGATGCCCAGGGGCAGGAGGCGGTTATGAAGGGAAGAGGTGGGGACCACAAATGCTTGGCTTAAGTAAAATCTCCTCTCAGAGCAAACCTTAAAGTTGTAGTGGTGGTGGTGATTTTGAAATAAGTGGTTTATCATCTATTTCTAGTTTTTAAAAACTTGCTAACAGATGTTTTCCTGGAATCTAAGGATGTGAAAACTCTAATTTTGGGGAGCAGAACAAGGACACCAGACTTTCTTAGATGTGCCAAGTGTGGATGGCACAGCTGAAGGGGCATGGGGCAAAGAAGTGGGGCTCTTAGAGACAACTCCCAGGCAGCCATGGTTTTCGAGTTTTCTGAATGTCTAGCTCTCTGCCCCGCAGTGCTATTTCCCATCTCTCTCCCTTCCTTCTCTTTGCTTCCAAGATTCCATAATAGTCTCAAGTGAAAGGAATGATTTCCAAAGACTGTCCCTGGAAGAGCCATCTTCTTACCAATTTCTGTGCAACCAGGGCTTCTTGGTGTCATTTGGATCTGCTCTCTGTAAGAACACAGCAGCAATCTGACTGGCCAGATCTCCCAAATGCACTAGGGAATTGGAATCTGTAATATCATTTTTCAACAGTTAGGGAGAAAAATCATGTAGTATCATACAATAGACAGGGAAACTGAGTCCCATAGAGGCTGAATGGTTGCTCAAGATTACATAGTAAATTAGAGTCAGAGTTAGGGCTAGAAACAAGGCCAGCATTCAATGCATCTGTTTAATATTTTCCTCCCTGTACCTCATTGGAGGCTGCAGAGAGATGGGTTTTGTTTATGTCTTTTGTTCAATTAATGTTCACTGACTTTCCATTATGTGCAAGGCACATATTTAGGAATTAGCTCCCTCCCCAGTCTCTAATGTTAGTAGGATCTTCCTAGTTGTCCAACCAAAGATAATTCTTTTTTCATTTTATTTAATCTTTAAGTTCAGAGGTACATGTGCAGGTTTGTTCTATAGGTAAACCTGTATCATGGGAGTTTATCATACAGATTATTTTATCGCCCACATATTAAGCCTAGTACCCATTAGTTATTGTTCCTGATCTTCTCCCTCCTCTCACCTTCCCCCCTCCAATAGGCCCCAGTGGGTGTTGATGTCCTCTATGTGTCCATGCGTTCTCATCATTTAGCTCACACTTGTAAGTGGGAACATGTGGTACCCTGCGTTCATTTGCTAAGGATAATGGCCTCCAGCTTCATACAGGTTCCTGCAAAGGACATGATCTCATTCCTCTTTATAGCTGCATAATACTCCGTAGTGTATATCTACCACATCGTCTTTATCCTGTTTATCACTGATGGGCATTTCGGTTGATTTCACGTCTTTGCTATTGTGACTAGTGTCGTGGTGAACATAACATAAGCGTGTGTCTTTATAATAGAACTGTTTATAAGGAATCCTTTCTTTAGTGACCCAAAGCACCAATTTTTCCCACAAGGAGTAAGCACAAGTTTAGCTGTTAGTCTGAACTTCTGGCTTAGGTTAAACTAACACAAACAGAAGATACTCTAGGATATTAGTGATATTCACAATGGAGACCAAGAAAATGGTTTAAGCCAGCATCTCTGTGGCTGAGAGTTTCTATCTGGATAGGGAACAACAGATGTCTGCATCGGAGGGTCTCCCCAGTGTCTTTTAAGAGATATGGTCTAGATCTTGTGCCCTGCCCCCTGCTCCCTCCCTCCGCCCCCCGCCATCACATTATATGAATTTAAAGTCACCTTAACCCCCCCCACCCAAGGGACTTCCTGAAACGCTGCAAGAGGGTAGTTTTCCTGAGAAGGGAGGAGGGGTGGACTCAAGCAGCCCTTCCTGCCCTGCCTGGGATACCTGGGAAGCCCACGAGTGGGTGGTTAGTGCTATCATTGCAGGGTGGTAGAGACTAGAGAGAGTTTGGAAACCACCACATGCCCCTCAGGCTGTAACTGCAGACTTGGCTGTGAGGAAGACATGCCTTCACCTGCAGGGAGACAGGCAAAGACTGTCACCAAAGCCACACAGGCGAAGAGGGCCAGCTGCAGAGGCAGACACAGAGGATGGAGAGGTGTGGAGGCAGACGGGATGGGGAGGGAGACTCCTCCAGATCCGTGGTGCCCAGACTTTGGGGTTTCATAGATGAAATTCCATGTAGGAAAATAAAACATCGAATTTGGGGGAGATCAGCAGAGCGTTGCCAGTTTTTTACTCTGTGGGGTAGAAAGTTTGAAATATACCATTTAGGATCACTATCCTGTCCTAAAATAAATTTTAACATTCTTCCTCCTAAGAAAAAAAGAATATCATCTCAAAATTTCTAAGAATTTAATCTTTTTTTTTTTTTTTTTTTTTTTTAAGAGACACAGTCTCACTATGTCACCCAGGCTGGAGTTCAGTGGTGTGATCATAGCTCATTGCGGCCTCAAATTCCTGGGCTTGAATGATCCTCTCATCTCAGCCTCCCTAGTAGGTGGGGCCATCAGCATGTAACACCATGCCTGGCTAATTTTTTTTTTTTTTTTTTTAGTTTAGGGAGGAAGTCTTGCTATGTTGCCCAGGCTGGCCTCAAACTCCTGCATCGAGCCTTATTTTTTTTGAAAGTCACCACACTAGCATTGCCTTTATCATTTCAGTGCCACTCACAGAGGCCTCTACCCAGCTGCCCTGGCAGGAAGGGCATACACAGGCAGGAAAATTAAGCTGCAGCCCAGTAGGCCCTGGGCTAGCTCTCTCTTCTCCAGGCTTGTCACTGCTTTCCTGCCTGGATCTTCCTGCCCTGTCCATCAGAGATCGCCTGATGGGGTCCAGCACTGACTCTCCTCTTGCTTCCACTTGCAGATTAAAACTGAAGATCTCAGTGACTCTCTGCAGCAGACCCTCTCCCATCGGCCATGCCACCTGAGTCAAGGACCTGCCATGATGTCTGGAAACCAAATGTCTGGGGTAAATACCAGGACCTGCCAGGGAACCCTGATATTCACAGTGGGCCAGTACGTTTAATTCAATCTCTCTGTGAGATGCTGGACTTCCATGCTTGGTACTCTGTGAATCCGTAAAATTCTAAAGAACCCCTTGTAGGCAATGTGAGAAAGACATTTGGAGGCTGTGAGTGGGGTTCTAAAACAGGACTCTCACAGGTGAAGACTGCCTAGGGATGTGAAGAGGGAGGCCTCTACCTCTCAGGGACAAAGGAGCCAGGCTTGCCAAAGCCAAGGACCTAACGGCTGTGCTGCTGGTGTCTGCCAGCCACATTCAGGGGAATCCTAGGTTGACAGCTGCTGCTACGGTTAGACAATGTTTCCATCCCCAGTGGGTCCATTCCGCCTCCCCTAAGGTTTTATGTCAGAGCCAAACTAGAATGGAGTGCAGGTGTGGGAAGAAAGAGGCTTCTGAGGCTGTCCTGGAGGGCTTTCATGTGATGAGACCTCTTCTCAGCAGGGATCACCTGGGGGAGAAAGAGCCACTCCTTGTGGAAATACATAAGAATTCACCCCCAGAAATACATAAGAATGTGCATCTGTCCCTTCACCTTCCATTCAGCAAGGTCTTTTCTGTGTGTGCAAACCTAAGCTCAACCTCATGGGGTGGGGCGCAGAACTCTGGGGTCTGGATCACAGAGAACTCCCTGATCCCACAAGCATTGGAATTGTTAATCCTATGCCCTGGTCTGGTAGGAGAAACCTGGGAGAAATGGACTTTCTGTTGAACTAAATTGGTTTTATTAAGAATGAATAGCTTGCCCCACCCAACTCCCACCCCAACATCTCCAGGAAAGATTCAGACCCAGGAAACGGTGGAGGCATGGCTTTTAGCATAATCAGGTGGCATGAGATTAAAAAAGAATTGAACAGCAGGGACTGCATGTTATCTCCAGGATAAACTTTGAGAGATGGCTAATACCCAGAACTCTGCCTTCAGGGTATTTTACAGTCTAGTTGGGAGACAGGACTGACACATACAAAAATTAACTCAGGAGGCAAGAGTTAAGTAACAATCTGTCATACAGACTCCTAGGCCGAGTGCAGAAGCTGTAACAATACCAGCATTAATGGAGTAGCTACTATTTGCTAGACACTGGAGTACAAGGTCAGACTGCAAACTCTCCGGGGCTGGAGACCCCTAGGACAGATGCATGGCAGGCAGATGGGGCTGATATCCCCAGCTTGTAAATTCTGTGATGTGTGTGTATCTCTCCATGTGTAGGACATGGCTTCCCTCCATCCGCTCCAGCAGCTTGTGCTGGTTCCCAGCCACTTACAGTCTGTATCCCAGTTCCTGATATCTCAGACCCAGCCTGGGCAGCAAGGTAAGAACCCTGGGGGTTTCCACATAGACCAAGTCCAGTCAAGTGCTGCTGCTGCTGCTGCTTTTTGCTGGGTGAGAGGGGGCCTAAGTGCAGGGCATGCATCCGTCACTTACCCCTCTGGTATTAAGACCTACTTATCCACCCCACGGTCTGAGGAAGGAACCCTGGCAGTGCTCCTGCAGACTGAGTCTCCTTTTCTGCTTGCCTCTCCCAGCCTCCAGTGGGGTGGTCTGGCCCACCTCCTCAATTGCATGGAGAGTTGAGATGGAAGTTGCAGGCGCGGAGGACGGTGTGCTGTGTAAGGGAGGGGAAGCACCTGGGACATGCAGTGCAGACAAGTCCCAATTCCTTGGAAATCTCTCCTGGACTCCCTGCCTGGAAGCCTGGCTGTGATTCTATTTGGATAGAGCAGCAGTGCCATCCACAGGTTGTAGAAAGCATGTTCAGGTTTTCTTTGGCAGGGAAGTTACTCCCAGAGAACTTCTCCCTGGCCAAGAACAAATAGATTGAACCATGAATAAACAGCTAGCATTTCTTGAGCATGATGTGCCAGGAGCTCTGCTGAGTAATTTTTCTGACATTCCTCAAAATAACCTTGTGCAGTAGGTAGTCTTATTATGCCTCTGGTGACTTACTGGGAAGTTTCAGAACTGTTTAATTGAGACCCATACTCTTGGCCATCACACAGGTGGGACAGCGCTTCCCATCCTACTTTCATCTCCACCAACTAGGGTCAAAAGTGATGGAGGAGGCCGGGCGCAGTGGCTCACACCGGTAATTCCAGCACTTTGGGAGGCCAAGGCGGGCAGATCACTTGAGGCCAGAGGTTCGAGACCAGCCTGGCCAACTTGGTGAAATTCCATCTCCACTAAAAATACCAAAATTAGTCAGGTATGGTGGTACATGGGAGGCTGAGGCAAGAGAATCATTTGAACCTGGGGGGCGGAAGTTGCAGTGAGTCAAGATCAGGCCACTGCCCTCCAGCCTGGGTGACAGAGCCAGATTGTCTCCAAAAAAAAAAAAAAGTAATGGAGGAAGGAAGTAAAAACTCTCTCCTGCTGCACAAATCCCGAGTAGAATAAATCCAGAATCCAACAAAATGCAACTCTACCTTCTGCCCTTAGCACCTGCACAGATACGCTCTCTATTGTTACAGTTTCCAAGGCCTCTCAGAATATTATGGTGATGAATGAGACCCTATTTGAATTTTTAAGCGTTTATTTTGGTTAAACAATACACATCATACTCTTGGAATAGAAAAGGGAAGGTAACAGTTTAATTTGTTTTCAGAAGACCAGTGAGTGGCCCAGGCATATAACCAATTAGGTCAGTGTATGATGCAGTGGTAGAAAGACACTTCCAAATTTGGAGTCAGAAAAATTTACTGTTTTTTTAAAAAGTCACTTACTAACTGTGTGTTTTTAGAAAAGTTTCCTAACCTCTGTGAGCTTCCATTTCCTCTTCTGTAAAAATGAGATAATATCAAGGCTCTGCCTCAGGAGATTATTGAGAGTCACTTGAAGTAATGCATGTGAAAAGGCTGTATTTTCAACTGCAGTGCCAGAATTGCCATTAGTACCTAAGCCTTTAAACTCCCAGCTCAGGATTCCTTGTAAGTGCTTTCTTGCCCACGTATTTTAATAATGAACAATGAAGCCCTGACTTTTTGAGACTGAAGAGTGTGAAGGTCAACATCAGCAGATACTGTGCATTGTGACCCAGAACAGCTTAGGGACAACAGAGACCCCAAGATGCTGTTGAGTGATGAGCGATTGGGGTGGCTGGGCCCTTGTCTGCTTCGGTGGTTTGATGGCCCCACTCCTGCTCTCCCAGCAGGGGTCTCCAGTGAGCCACCAGCCAGGCAGGGCCCTCTTGTAGTTTTCCTGGGGAGGACGGAGAAGCAGGTACAATGCATCCCGCCCAAGGGAGTTTCCAGAAGCTAGGCGCTTGACTTTCCCGCCTTTCTCAGCCCTCCCTCCCAAGTATAAAATGTCCTGGTCAGTCACATGCCTCTCGCTATGGCCCACTGCCCTTTGGAGCTGTATGGTCGCATCTGCTTGGTCTGGCATCCTGGCAGATTTGGCTGGGCCTCTGTAGCCACGCTAGCTACTTCTCCTGCAGGGAAAACTGAAATCCTCAGCCCGGCTTGAATTCTCAGCAGCCACCCTGCATTCCTTCCCTTCCTGGGTTTCTTCAGCTCTGGTAATCAGATCCCAGAGTAGATCCTCTTGACCCTCCTTAGCCTCTGCACCTCCCCAGACAGGCAGGCAGGAGGAAGGACTGGTTTGGGGACTGCTGTTTACATGTCTGTTTATCCCTGCATCTGCTTTACCTCCACCTGTATGTAGCAATGCCTGGCAATGCCTGGGGGGCCTCTCCATGGGGCTTGAGGTGGGTGGAGGAACCTGATTAGGTGACAGGGGGTAGGAACAGTGATCATGGTGCCAAAGTGGTAGCACATGTCTTTCAAATGGCCTGGATTTTATTCGTCTGTTCCTTTGTCCCCCCCTTTCACCCAGGTCTGCAGCCAAATCTCCTCCCCTTTCCACAGCAACAAAGCAGTCTCCTCCTCCCACAGACTGGGCCGGGCCTGGCATCCCAGGTAAACAACCCCATTCTTCCTGTTTCCTCTAGGAATGCTTCAGCCCTCGCTAATTTCCTCCCTATTCCTTTAACAGGGCACTAACCCCTCTGGGGGGAGGGGACAGCAGAGAACTATCCCTGTTGGCACAGAGGAAATCCAAGCTACAGCAAGAAGGGACAATTTACCAAGGGTCACTGGTGGGGCCAGAATTAGAACCCAGAGATTCCAGCTCCCAGGCTAGCCTCCTTCGTGCTGTAGGCTCTGGACTCTAGCCCTGCACAGGTCCTAGCACTGCTCCTCTGAGAGCTGGACTCAGCTCATTTCTCAGGCATAGCAAGATGGCCACCAATTCTACCTAGGTGCTCTCAGGCCCCAAGGGGGAGACTACAGTAACATGGACCTGACAGTGCGGTGGCTCATGCCTGTAATCACAGCACTTTGGGAGGCTGAGGTGGGCGGATCAGGAGTTTGAGTCCAGCCTGACAAACATGGTGAAACCTCCTCTCTACTAAAAATACAAAAATTGGCTGGGCGTGGTGGCACGTGCCTGTAATCCCAGCTACTCAGGAGGCTAAGGCAGGAGAATCACTTGAACCTGGGAGGAGGAAGTTGCAGTGAGCCAAGATCCGGCCACTGCACCCCCGGGGGGGGGGCGGGAATCTCTCTCTCCCAAAAAAAAAAAAAAAAAAAACCACAGACCTAATGTCCCAGACCACAAAGCCAGTGCCTTTCACCTTTGGGCCACCATTCCAGATTGCCTCCTGCAGAGGGAACGTATACAAGCCAGTGGGCTGATGTCTGGAAGAGAGGCTGTTTGCAGAGCTGCCATGGTTCCACAGAGCACCTTTTTGCCAATTAGGAAAAAGGCACCTCTTCTGACCAGCAGCAGCCTCATGCCAGGGTGCACAGCTTGGCGACAGCAGCATGAGCTGTATCTCAGCTGCCATTCCTCCCCTGATCTGGGTGCCCCTGTACAGTTAATAACCTGCACAGCTGCATGAGATGGCTCTGCACAGATGGTTGGGCAGAAAGGTTGGAAATGACTACAGAGATCTCTGTGCTATGATCCCCGTGGCTCACCGAGAGCCCTGCCTTTAGAGAGGGCTGAGGCCACTAAAAACACCTAGAGGGGAAGCACGCCATCTAGTGGTTGAAATGGGGACACCAGCATCATGAGCTGCTTTTCCACCTGCTCCTGGCAGCCCTCTCCAGAATCTCGTAGTCATGGGCTACAGCTGAAAGAGATCTTAGAATATTCAAGATCAACTCTCATCTCTTGTGATATTTTGGCATGGAGGGACCGGTAGCAGGGAGACCACGTAGAAGATTATGAAGATCATCCAGGGGAGGGGTAATAAAGGATTGGGTTAGAGTTGTGGCAATAAGAAGAGAGGATGATTGAGGAGATGTTTTGGGAAGTTGAATCCGTGCGGTTTGGCAGTGGATTGGAGGTGAAAGGAGGAGGGAGAAGATCTAGCAGAGAACTCCATAAGTACTTGTCAAATGAAAGAACAAATGATTTAATGAAAAGGAAGGAAAAGGAAGGTTCAAAGTGAACTGGGGCTTTGCCCTGAGGGTCTGGTCTATGCCACATCCTCCTCACACACCCGCTCCCTGCAAAGCAAGACAAATTCATGATGCATTCAGACTATGCTGTTCTGAAAGACCCCTCTTTGGGGGAAAGACTCCTAAACTTTTCTCTGCTCCTTTTATCTTCTTTATCATAAGGATGCCTGTCTGAGTGGTAAACCCAAATATCCCAGAAGAGAAGGAGTAATGTTAACCCTAATCTACAAAAAGTAAATTAAGTAGGAGAGAAGAGGTGGATTTAGCCCTCTGGGCTGGACACAGTGCTTGGACCCCTAGGCCCAGATTCCACTCCATCCTTGCAGAATGACAGATGTCTTTAAGATTGGATTCATTCCTGACCCCAAATGGGCAAAACGTGGTTCTAGGTTTAAGGGTACATTTTCCTATGAAAATAAGCTCAAGAAAGAATATCTGGCTGGTCACAGTGGCTCATGCTTATAGTCCCAGCACTTTGGGAGGCCAAGACAGGTGGATCGCTTGAGCCCAGGAGTTTGAGACCAGCTTGGGCAACATGGTGAAGCCCCATCTCGACAGAAACAATAGCCGGACGTGGTGGCACATGCCTGTAGCCCCAACTGTTCGGGAGGCTGAGGCAGGAGAATGGCTTAAGCCCAGGAGGTTGAGGCTGCAGTGAGCAGTGATTGTGCCACTATACTCTAGCGTGGGTGACAGAGTGAGATCCTGAAGAAAGAAAGAGAGAGAGAGAGAAAGAAAGAAAAGAAAAGAAAAGAAAATGTAACAACCTAAATGAGATCAAGGTGCATTTTATAAAGGTACTGATTAAAATACCTTTGATTAAAAACAACACAGTTTCACAAAAGAAAATGGTGGTTGAGAAAGTAAAATGATGCACAGGAGTTTGACATTTTAGGGAAGTTCTATGAAGGCTATGAGTTCTTGCATGTTCCCTGTTATCTTCAGTAAACTCCTGTTGAACACCTCAGTTACCTGCTTTATGAAAAAAAAAAAATAAAAAATCAATATAAGTTAAAAAAAACCTTTTCCTTTTCAGTTTTGGGATTGTTTTGGAATCTTTGTAAACGACCCTGCTAGCTCCTTTTATGGTGGAAAACTGAAAGGAGGAAGTAACCTGCTCAGACTCAAACAGGGAGTCACAGACTAAAACTGAGGCCACCACCCTATCCCGCATTCCTGCTGATGTTTCTACCCAGATATTCCAATTATTTGCTATACATTCATAGAAACTTCAATTCAACTTCCATACCTCTGGGAAAAAAAATAGGACTCAAATGTATCCAGGGATCTGTCATCCTCTAAGTGGGCCTATTAGCAAAAAAAAAAAAAAAATCAGAAAATGTCATTTATTGATCTTTGTGGATCTGCTTGGTGTGTTTCCTATCAGGCAGCTGGGCGCCCTGGGCTGCCAGGATCCTCTTTAGAACCCCACCTGGAAGCGTCCCAGCATCTCCCAGTGCCCAAGCATCTACCCAGCTCTGGAGGACCCGATGAGCCCAGTGACCTCGAGGAGCTGGAGAAGTTTGCCAAGACCTTCAAGCAAAGGCGCATTAAGCTGGGCTTCACACAGGTTTGGCTTTTGGGAAAAAGTAGAAGAAATTGAGGAGTGGCTGGGGACTGGGCTTCCCAAGTGCTGTTTTCAAGAGCAACCAGAGGCTCCATGTGTTGGGGCCAGCTCATCATGTCTCTGAGCTCTCTGAGAATAGGGCACAGTTGCCATTGGTAGAGAAACTGAGGACATTGATGGTGGGGGAGAATGAGAGGTGGAAAAGGGGCTGAGTCTCCTGAGCACATGGGCATGGTCCACTCAGAGCCTAAGGAGAGAAAGAAAGCAATTCTTCAACTTAGAGGGAGGAGACTTGGAAAGGAGCTGAGCATGGGTGAGCACTCGAACGTTCAGGCTGGCTGTGTGATCAGTGCTAGGATCGTGCAGGATGGTGGGCAAACAAGGGGAGGAGGCTGCCTCTCATGTTCCTCCCTCTTGGTCCCCATGCTTAGGGAGATGTGGGGCTGGCGATGGGAAAGCTGTATGGCAACGACTTCAGCCAGACCACCATCTCGCGATTCGAGGCCCTCAACCTGAGCTTCAAGAATATGTGCAAGCTCAAGCCCCTGCTGGAGAAGTGGCTGAATGACGCAGGTGGGCCTCGCAAACACGGACGCCAGGGGCCCCTCCAGGGCTCTGCAGGGGAGGGCCAGTGACCTGTCGTGTTGGGACTTTCAGGTCTTGATAGCTAACACCCCTTCCTTCCCCTGAGACTGGAGCCAACACAGAAACAAGACACAGGACACAGGCCAGTGTAGATGGAAGTGTCAGCCTGACCACTGTGAAGCCCTCAGGAGGATGTGGGTTTAGGTCTGTGTCCATCAAGATTTGCCGCTGTTCCATTCCTACCCCATCCCACCCAGCATAGACCTTAGGACAATTTCCAGCAACAAAGTCTGGGTCTGCAGACTTTGTGGTGGTGATGCAGTCACTCCTGGTTGAGAACCACTGGCCTAGGCAGACGGAGGGAGCGCGCTGGTCTCCAGGGCTGGGCTTTCTTCAGTGTGTTCACGTGGGTTCATGGTGACAGTGGAGTGGGAGGAAAGGTGGGGCGGCCAGCCAGGGCTGTGACTCCTGTGGAAGGCCCTCCACATGCAAGCATGGGAGGGGACAGCAAGCTCCCCCAACAGGGCATCCCTTAGACAGCCTTTATGGAAGCACTGAAGTGAGCGAAATGATCCAAAGGCCTTCAACTCTCTGGGGAAGGGCCCTGTAGACCATTTCTAGTCCCTATCAGATTCTGAATCCTTCCTCAGGGTCATCCCTCCTACGGCCCTACAGCCTTAGCTCCAACATTTGCACTGGCAGGAAGATGCCTCCAACACCAACAGTCTGCCACCAAGTGCCATTGCTTTTGGCTTCAAATCCCATTTCACATTTCACTCAGTATTCACATCTAGGCATATCTGTAAACAACAGCCTCATGAGCGTTACCCGCAGGAGCCCTGTCAGTGCACCCTTACACCCACACATGCCACCGATGCCTGGGCATCCCTCAGCTGTGACCGCAAACACTGGAGACACTGCTGTGGGGGCCACGGAGGGCCATGGAGAGCCTTTGCTCTGAGCAATGAGGAGAAGCAGGATTCTTGGTCTGTTCTGGGCTCCCTGCTGGGAAAGGGGATTGCTCCTGAAAATGCCACCACAGAACCCATCAGGAAGGGTTGTTGGACCTCAAATCCATGAAAGCACCGGCCACTCATCCCCTTCTCTGAGCTTCCTTTGCTCCTTCGTGTCCCCACAGAGTCCTCTCCGTCAGACCCCTCAGTGAGCACGCCCAGCTCCTACCCCAGTCTCAGTGAAGTATTTGGTAGGAAGAGAAAGAAACGGACCAGCATCGAGACCAACATCCGCCTGACTCTGGAGAAGAGGTTTCAAGATGTGAGCAGCTCCTTCGGGTGGGCATGGGTGGACTGCTCACACAGGTAGGGGGAGCAGACACAGCACCGGCCCCTTGGCACCGGCCCCGCTGCACCTCATACCTGCCCCGGGATACAGTCAGAAAATACACTCTCCCACTCCAGGCGCCCAGGCATGCAGTGCAAAGCTGCCCTCCATCTCAGTTCCAGGAACCTCCTCCTCCACTGACCTTTCTTGCCTTGACATCTGTTTAGGGCCCTTTGTTTCTCTCACTGGGAGATTTAAAGAATCAGCTATAGGGTCGCAGAACACAGTGTATCTCTGCATCCAGTTGAGGTAAAGGAGCGAAGCCGGAGGATTGTATATAAGTTCTCCATTTTCCATGCAGTCCATTTTGTATTTTTCAAATTGTAACTGTAATAAATGTTCATTGTAAGCAATTTGAAAAGTACAGTGAAATAGAAAAGAAAAAACCCATCACCAAATGCCATCTGATCGCATTTCCTTCTAGTCCTTCTTTTCTGTGCACATTTAAATATTTATGATCAGGTTATACACCTACATTTTTTGGAACTTGTAGCAAAAGCATATTTTTGAGCCAGTATGTAGAAACTGTGAGCCCCATGTGAGCTGGGGAAGAGAGGAGGGAGAAACAGGTGTGGTCTAACCAGCCTCTAGCCAGGCTCCCTCAGATCCCAGCCTCCAGAGCCGCCATGGGTACCATGAGCCTCCAAAGGCCCCAGGCCTCTGGGACTACTGCCCATCTGGTAGATCCCCCATGTATCTGGCTCAAGGATTTGGTGGCCACATCCAGCTGGCCCAATGACAAGAACTGGCTCTTCCTTCTTTTTAGGTTTCCTAGAGTGGCAAGGTTAAGGGAGGGTGTAGGAGCGGGGGAAAGTGGCGGGGCTAAAGACCAGGTATGAAGGATCAGAACAAGGGAGTGGCAGCCATGTTGCATACATCACTGTGCCACAGCCCTGATGGGTCCACGTGCTTTAGCTTTCTCATTTCCTGCTTTGAGGCAGGGGGACAGGAAGAAACGACAAGGCAGGCCAGGAGATGTGGCTCACGCCTGTAATCCCAGCACTGTAATCCAGGCCAAGGCGGGTGGATCACTTGAGGTCAGGAGTTCAAGACCAGCCTGCCCAACATGGCAAAACCCCATCTCTACTAAAAATACAAAAATTAGCTGGGCAGGGTGGCGCATGCCTGTAATCCCAGCTACTTGGGAGGCTGAAGCAGGGAGAATTGCTTGAACCCAAGAGGCGGAGGTTGCAGTGAGCCGAGATCACGCCACTGCACTCCAGCCTGGGTAACAGAGCAAGACTCTTTTTCAAAAAAAAGAAATGACAAGGGAGAAGGACATCAGGTTATAAGGCAATAATATAAAAGAGGGCAGGGGCTCTGGGGACTCTGCCTGCCCCACGTAACTCATCCATGGACTCCTCTTTTCCGAACTCAGGAACAAAGGCAAGAGAGCTGCCATCTATGGACACCCTGCTCTGTGGCACGCCCTGTGCTTGGCAGTTTACACACATTTTCTCATTTAATTTCTGCAATAATCCTATGTGGTGGGCATGCTTATTATCATTTCACAGACGATAAGACAGGCTCAGAGAGGTTAAGAAAGTTTGCTAAGGACACATAGTAAGTGATAAAGCCAGTATTCCAACCTAGGTCTGACTCTAAAGCTTTTGATCCTTGTATAGTTCTATCCTGTTTCTTTGGGACCTCTGTTCCCCGCCCCTGATTCCCTTCTCTTGACCATACTCTGCCCTTTCGGTCCCTACAGAACCCAAAACCCAGCTCGGAGGAGATCTCCATGATTGCAGAGCAGTTGTCCATGGAGAAGGAGGTGGTGAGGGTCTGGTTCTGCAACCGACGCCAAAAGGAGAAGCGAATCAACTGCCCTGTGGCCACACCCATCAAACCCCCTGTCTACAATTCCCGGCTGGTGAGTGGCCAGGAGCCAAGCTGCCTGCCAAGCACTGGAGAGACATGGTGCTTGGAGGGGAAGGTGGTGACTGCAGGGAATAGGGGAGCATCCAGTAAATAAATAAGCAAAGAGATGCTGTATAGAATACAATATAAAGAACACTAAAGATTGGCTAGGGAATAGAAGGGGAAAGCAGGGAGATGCTCTTTCAATAGGGAGGTCAGAAAGGACCTTCCTGATAAGCACATGTGAACGGAGACCTGGAGTTGTCAGGGAATGAAATATGTGGCTATCTGAGGGACAGAGTGTCCTAGGCAGACGCACTGGCAAGTGAGAAGACCCGGCCAGCATGTTTAAGGAACAGCAAGGCAGCCAGTGTGGCTGGGGACAGAGCGAGAAAGGGGACCAGAAGTAAGAGAGGAAGTCAGAGAAGAAGCAGGAAGTAGAGTACCCAAGCTCTGGGGGGGTCATTGAAAGGCCCCCAGCTTTCAGTTTGGGTAAAATGAGAAGCCACTGGAGAGCTGTAGCCAGAGAAGGCTAAGTTGGCTGACATGGGCTGCTATGAGAGGAATAATCTGTGTGGAAGCAGGAGACCGGCTAGGAGAATAACAGTGGTTAGGCTGTGTGGCAGAGGCTTGGCCTAGGGCGGTAGCCATGGAGGTGAAAAGGAATGGTTGCATTCTGGCCTGACTTTGACAGTGGAGCAGCATGATGCGCTCAGATACGGAATACAAGAAAGACTGAGAGATGACTGCAAGAATTTTGGCCCAAGCAATGCAGTGGGAAGCACTGCCATTTTTTGGAATGATGAAAACTGCAGGAAGAACAAGTTTGAGGAAAAAAGCTAAGAATTTGGGGCTGGTCATAGGAAGTGGGACATACTTATAAGGCATCCAAGAGGAAGTGTGAAGGAGTTACATCTGTGACTCTGGAGTTCAAGGGAAAAGCCAGGGCTGGGAACAATTTGAAGTTCCAGGCAGATAAGGAATTTTAGAGGGTAGGGAATACCTTCTCCATGTAGGGAAAAATGGTTCCTGGAGGGTGGGGTTGGGAAGGCTCTTCTCTGGGACTGGGGATGAGGATGGTTGAAGGTTAAGGGAGTTGGGGAGAATGATACTGACCTTGAGTCTTTCCGCACTGTAAGATGGGCAAAATGCAGCCTTGTCAGGGTGGGACACAGCTGTTTCCCAAAAACTACACCATTGTTGATTCTTTCACCAACGAGCTACCAACTACCTTCTATATATTGCACCAAGTGCTGGGGATACAAAGACAAGTATTGTTTGTTCTCTGTCCCAGAGGACCTTATTGCCTAGCAGAGGAGCAGGTAAATAAACAACTGGAAAACAGCATGATTATTTCTCCAGCAGAACTTAGGAGCAGCAGCTAACCAGCCTTGGGAACTGGTGGTTAGGGCAGGCTTCCCCAAGGAGATAATTACTACCTGAGCTGAGTCTAAAGGATGAGGAGGAATCGAAAGGCAAATAAACGTGGGTGGAGCTCTCCCAGGGGAAAGTAGGAGAGCCGAGGAATGGGGCAGGGAGAGTGCGGCACATTCACAGGACCGCAGGTGGTTCCGTGAGGAGGAGTGTTGAAAGATGAGGCTGGACGGATCAGCAGGGGCCAGAATGCAGGGATTGTACACAATGCTAAGGAACTGAAGTCTTGGGGGAATCACTGAAGGAGTTTCATAGGATATTGGCATGGTCATTTTCTTTTTTTTTTTTTTTTGAGATGGAGTCTTGCTCTGTCGCCCAGGCTGAAGTGCAATGATGTGATCTCGGCTAATACAAAATTAGCCACCACGCCTGGCTAATTTTGTATTTTTAGTAGAAATGGGGTTTCACCATGTTGGCCAGGCAACCTCCACCTCCCAGGCTCAAGCATTTCTTCTGCCTCAGCCTCCCAAGTAGCTGGGACTACAGGCACACACAACCACACCTGGCTAATTTTTGTATTTCTAGTAGAGATGGGGCTTCACCGTATTAGCCAGGCTGGTCTTGAACTCCTGATCTCATGATCCACCTGCCTCGGCCTTTCAAAGTGCTGGGATTACAGGTGTGAAACCACCGTGCCTGGCCATTTTCTCTTTTGAATGATCACTCTGACTGCAGGATAAAAGATTGTTTGAGACGCACAAGATGGGTTTCAGGGAGACCAGTTAGGATGGGACTGCAGGTAACCAGTAGAGAAAGATCGAGGGCAAAGCAACCCCACGAGGTAGGAATGAGAAGGGTGGGAGGGATTCAGGAAATCATTAGAAGGTCTTGGTTAATGAATGGAAAGCTGGATGGGGGCAGGAAGAGAGAAGAAGAAAAGGGAATCCTCTGCGATGACACTCGGCATTCAGGCTGGGCTGATGGGGTAGATGGTAGTGCCATTTACAAAATAAGCAAACCAGGAGGAGATGGCTTGGGAATGGGAAGAAGTGATGATTTCAGTTCTTATGTCATCATGATGTACAGCGAGGCCGGCAGGACTCCCACGTGGGAATGTCCCTGGGCACTTGAGATGATGGGTCTGGAGGTAAGAAGGGAAGGCTGGCATGAAGACAGGGACTGCGGAGTCACAGTGTGTAGGTAATGGTTGAAATCCTGGGTGAGAAGGAACTCGCCTATGGAGTTTATGTAGAGGAAGCAAAGAGCAAAGGCCATGCCACCAGTGATGGGCAAAGGAAGAGGATCAGGGAAGAAGCTGAGAAGGAGGCACCAGAAAAGGCAAGCAACTACAACCAAGTAGATGTGAGGAGTGTTGGGCAGGAATGAGCCCCTTAGGAGTGCCATGGGAACCAAGAGGAAAGACACCCAAATCAGAATGGGGCCTGGGAGGGTGGATATCTAATTTGTTTGGAGAATAGATTAGGAATTCGCAAGAGTAGTATGCAAGGCATAAGGAACAGCTATGAGAAGGCATAGAATTATTTTTAAATATTTTATTTATTTATTTATTTTAAATATTTTTGAGGCAGTTTTGCTCTTTTTGCCAAGGCTGGAATGCAATGGTGCAATCTAGGCTCACTGCAACCTCCTCCTCCTGGGTTCAAGAGATTCTCCTGCCTCAGCCTCCCGAGTAGCTGGGATTACAGGCACCCACAACCACACCTGGCTAATTTTGTATTCTTAGTAGAGTTGGCCAGGCTGGTCTCGAACTCCTGACCTCAGGTGATCTGCCTGCCTTGGCCTCCCAAAGTGCTGGGATTACAGGCATGAGCCACTGCGCCCAGCCTGAAGGCATAGACTTATAAAACAACATGATGCATTTGGGGACTCACAGGCATTTCAGTTTGGCTAGAGCAAAGGGTTTAGGATTAAAATTAGAGGGATTGATGAGTGTTGGATCATAATAGGCCATGGATACCTGAAGTACCCTAAACTCAGTAAGGGATCATTGAACATGTGAAGTTGGAGGCAACATGATATTCATTCATTATTTCTTCCTTAAGCATTCACTGAGCACCTGTTATATGTTTGGTACTGGGGCTCCAGTGGTGAATAGCACATGTGACCCCTGCTTACAGTGTATCAGGAAAACAGATACTAAACAAACGCTATTTGTGATGAAGGCTTCAGAGAAGAGCTACAGGTATTTGAGGTGCCTAACCTAGTCCAGGATGTCAAGAGCTTCTCTGAGGAATGATGTTTAAACCAACACCAGAAGAATGTGAATGCCACCATTGATATTAACAGGGAAAGTGTCTGAGCTGCGGGGGGCAGAGAGGAGTGAGGACAGGGAAGAATATTCTAGGTGGAGGAAGTAGCGTGTACAAAGGTTCTGAGGCTGGTGGTGGGGTGGGGCAGAAGGAAAGTAGCATAGAAAGCTGGAATGGGCTGGAAACCAGGGAGTGAGGGTGTGAGCGAGGAGGCTGGAATGGCAGGCAGGGGCTGGATTACATTGGGCATCGTAGGTCTTGTGAAGAAACTTGCGTCATATCATAGAAACTGGAATCTTTAAGGATTGGACTTTGTTTAGAGCAGGTGGGAAGTAGTAGCTTCTCCGTTTGGTTCAATGCCAACCCAGGACATCAACATGAAGAGACATGGTGGGGGCCTAGAGGAGCCATGCAGAAGCCCTGTTCCTCATTAGCTTCCATTGAACACATATTTACTGAGCACCTGCAACGTTCCAGGCATCATAGAAAGCACTGGGGGTGCAGCAGTGTGAACCACACAGGCATTCCCCTGCCCTCATAAAGTCTACAGCCTAATGGGGGTGAAGGACATTAAATAAATGGTTACACTAACCCTTGCGATGTCATGAAGAAAATGAGACAGAAAATTTTCTGATCTTATCTTTGGGTCTCATTGTGACAGTCCCTTGGGACTAGGACATAGTTTCTTCTCCTTCTGGAATAAAGTGATTAGCAGATGGAAAGGCAAAATGGTGCAGATCAGTGTGGGCAGAATGCTACCATACACCTAGAAAATAAAACAGGGGGACCGTGGATATGTCTGTTTGCATATGCCTAGCCTGTCTCCAGAAGGAAACAAGCTGGCCACCATGACCAAATATATTATCACTTATTTAAAAACAACAACAAGGCCAGGCACAGTGTCTCATGCCTGTAATCCCAGCATTTTGGGGGGCCAAGGTGGGAGGATCACCTGAGGTCAGCAGTTCAAGACCAGCCTGGCCAACATGGAGAAACCCTGTCTCTATTAAAAATACAAAAATTAGCTGTGTGTGGTGGTGTGTGCTACCTGGGAGGGTGAGATAGGAGAATCATTTGAACCCAGGAGACGGAGGTTGCAGTGAGCCAAGATCACGCCACTGAACACCAGCCTGGGAGACAGAGCAAGACACCTTCTCAAAACAACAGCAACAACAATACATGTCTTGGGTGTGACAGCCAGGAGGGAGGAGGAGAAGAGGTAGGGAAATTATTGATAACATCTCTTAACACTTTGCCACCCCTCCCAACCTGTGCCCCACACCGTCTCCACCCTTTGCAGCTACCAGCCTACTGAGGAGGCTCATTGCATAAGGAAAAGTAAATGAAAACAGGAAAACCATTGGTGATTAGTGAGGAAATAAGTACATGCTGCATCCTGTTAGAATGGGATCTTCCAAACTGGGGAGAGCAAAACTACATTTTGATACCCTTGCGAACACCTGGTCAGAGCTTCCCCTGTTAGCATAAGAAGAATAAGGGGCAGTGAAAAAACACAGACATTAGCTCAAAAGATGAGTTGAATAACATCTAGAGATACATAGCAGTTGACAGCTTCTTCCTCCAGAAAGGGAGAGAACTAGCATTTAACAAGCTGACAATGTTTACCAGCTGTTAGGTTGGAAGCTTTACGGACATTATCTCATTATATCTCAATTAAAATGAAATGGAAGTATTATTGCTATTTTACAGAGGAGAAAACCAAATCTCAGTGGGGTTAGATAACTTGTCCAAAGTCAGATAGTAGTGGAGCTGTCTTGCTACCAGACCTGCTGGGCTCCAAGCTCTGTTCTTTCTGTTACACCTTTTTCCAGGTTGTTCTTGGATAGTAAGAGCGAAGGGGAGGTTCCTGAATTGCATGGGAGGGTAAACAAAATTACCCTAGGTCCCCTTCTAATCTCAGAGCTGATGACGCTGTGACGTCTCCAGGGCAAAATAAAAAGCTTCAGAGACCAAAGTTCACTGCCTTCAGTTACCTCTGGAGAATCCACGCTGCATTCATCCATCAGAATGGGAAACCCCGAGAGAGGCTGCTAGGCTGAGCAACCCTGCTGTCCTGAGCAAAAGCAGGGTTCTTTTAGTGAGGAAGCAATGGAGACCAGAAAACAGGGAGGCAACCAGCAGTATCTGCCACAGCAGGGCCCAAGAGGCTTGTCTTTCTCACCTCCAGGGCTCTCAGGCAAGGCAGCCTTCAGCTTGGCAGTGCCAAAGAAACCTTATCAGGGGATACACGTTGCCCGGGGCTGGAGGGGCCTGGTGGCGACACCAGGGACCTTCCAGAGCAGACTGGTCCCGGATCTGGATGCCAGTACGTGGTCCAGAGACCATCCTTTAGAAAGGAGGATGGAGTATAGGTTTGGGACTAGGAAATCACCAAGGAAGCCAAGCCCTGGTCTCTACAGAGTCTGGGGCCTACTGTCTTTGGAGAATGATCTGAAGCTGGAGAAGGGAGCAGAAATGGACATTTACAAGCTTCTGTTGTTTTTCAGGTATCTCCCTCGGGGTCTCTGGGTCCCCTCTCTGTCCCTCCTGTCCACAGTACCATGCCTGGAACAGGTGAGCTTTAAAATGAGTTCTGAATAACACCAGAATTCTTTTTAAAAATGGGATATTAGAACTGAAAGGTATCTATCTAAGTCAGGATTCCCTAAATGTATTTCAAAGAATATTAAAATCTATGTTGGGGAAAAAACTGTGCTGTGATCAAGTAAGTTTGGGAAATGCTGAGTAAGCACAGTTTAAACAAGCGTATGTTTGTTGTTAGTTTTGTTGTAATTGCAGCACTTTTCAGCACTCAGGTGTATAACATTCCAGAATGAACTGTATGGAAGGCCCAAGGAAGGCAAGGCTTCCCAAAGTAATTTTCTACCGAACTCCATTCCTCTAAAAGTACCTGATTATTTCAAAGAACTAGACAGGATGACCACATGCCCAAGGGTGGTCAGGACAGTCCCAGTGTCTGCTTCATGTCCTGACATAATTGTCAATAGCACTTCCTTTCACTTTTCAAAGTGTCTTAGGTTCGACCAGGCGTGGTGGCTCACACCTGTAATCCTAGCACTTTAGGAGGCCGAGGCGGACGGATCACAAGGTCAGGAGATTGAGACCATCCTGGCTAACACAGTAAAACCCCATCTCTACTAAAAAATACAAAAAATTAGCCAGGCATGTTGGCACATGCCTGTGGTCCCAGCTATTTGGGAGGCCGAGACGGGAGAATCGCTTGAATCTGGGAGGCAAAGGTTGCAGTGAGCAGAGATTGCGCCGCTGCATTCCAGCCTGGGCAACAGAGCGAGACTCTTGTCTCAAAAAAAAAAAACAAAAAACGTGTCTTAGGGTCTTAGTTTGGATGGTAAAATATATGTCACTCTATCCATAGAACACAGCTTGGGAAACATGAACACAAGAGTTAATCCAAATACAAATCTGTCGTTTCACAGAGGATGAAAATGAGTTTCAGGAAAGTGAAACAAATCAGCACAGGCCACAGAGCTGCTGAGTGGTTGGCCAGGGACCAAGACAGGGCTCAAGTGCTCTCACTCCCAGTTCATTGCTCTTTTTGTTTTTGTTTTGTTTTGTTTTGTTTTTTTATGACAGGGTCTTGCTCTGTTGCCCAGGCAATGCAGCAACACAATCATGGCTCACTGCAGCCTCGACCTCCCAGGCTCAAGTGATCCTCCCATCTCAGCCTCCTGAGTAGCTGTGACTACAGGCGCGCATCATTACACCTGGCTCATTTTTGTATTTTTGTAGAGACTGACTTTCACCATGTTGCCCAGGCTGCTCTTGAACTCCTGGGCTTCATCGGCCCTCCTGCCTTGGTCTCCCAAAAGTATTGGGCTTACAGGCATAGGCACCATGCCCAGCTCGGCTCATTACTTTGTAGAAAACCATGCACCTTTTCTATGTGGAGACAGGACACTAGAGTGGCTGGCAGTCTTTCATGGTGCCCTCAAATTCTCTTTCTCTCCTCTTCACTTGCCTTTCTTTCCTCCTCTCTTCCTTCTTGTTCTTTTTCTCCTCCCGCCTCTTGGTCTGGGGCTGCATGTGCCCAGCCTAGGGTGTGTCTTAGAGTAGGGTGATTTTGGCATCTGTTCTTGCATTTGGCAAATCTTAGACTTGCAGAACCAGCCACACCACTCTCCAGGGGCTGGGCTGCAGACAGCATTTTTGATGAGAGCCCCTCTGGGTGTGGGCAGAAGTTGATGCTAATGAGGCAGGAGGTGGGCAGGTGGGTGTAGGTAGGGAGAGGGTGAGGTCCCTTTGGGGATACAGCAGGAAATTTGTGTTGGAGGCGCTATGTCCCGGTGTTCCGGGATCCAGCAGCATTATTTTCTCCTTGTTTTTGCCTCTCCTTGTCCTCAGTAACGTCATCCTGTTCCCCTGGGAACAACAGCAGGCCTTCATCTCCTGGCTCACGACTCCACGCCAGCAGCCCCACTGCATCTCAAAATCACTCCAAAGCAGCAGTGAACTCCGCCTCCAGTTTTAACTCTTCAGGGTAAGGTAGAGCGGAGGGTGCAGAGACCTCCCAGCAGGGCCATGGGACGTGTGAGAAGCTGGGCCCATGCCTTGGGAAAGAAAGCGTGTCATAGATAGGGTTAGAAAAGAGGAATGGGGTGGCAGGGAGAGGACAGAGAGAGAGACAGACTGGACTCTATCCCTAGGGAGTGGGGATTTTAAAAAGAAGCTTCAGTCAGTGAGCCATCCTGGCAAGGAGCTGATGTCAACAAAGCCAAAATTTCCATCCTTATTTTGAGGGTGGAAATTTCCAAACACTCATGTCAGAAAGGGCCAGGTCCTTTGCTGGGCTTCATGCAAGGAGCCCAGTTTTCCGAAGGTTCTGATGGGAGCCTAGATCTTAGGCACAAAGAAAACCCTGGGCTTCAAGCATGACTGACACAGGGAGAGAGGGAAGTGCTGCCAATTCCTGTCTCCCATTCCCACCTGGGATGCAGTGGGGAAGGCAGCCTCCTGTGCTTCAGTTCATGAAGCAAAGAATCTACTCTAAAAAGCATTCACAGAGCTCATGCCTATGAGAGAGAGATTCTGCCCTGGTTCAGAACAAAGCAGAGATATATAGGTTACAGACCTGAGTTTGTCAGAAAAGATGAACCCACCTGTCCGAATCCAGGTAGCCAGCTCTTATTGGCCACTTGTTACACAGACCAAAACTTCAGAGTGCCTCACCTACCCCTACTGAGAGAGAGAGAGAGGGAACCATATAATATACATTACTAGCTTTAAAAAAAGTTTCAAAATATAATTCATATGCCATAAAATTCATCATTTTAAAGTGTACAATTCAGTGTTTTTTAGTATATTCACAAAGTTGTACAACCATCAGCATTATCAAATTCCAGTATGTTTTTATTAGCCCTCCCCCTAAAACCCCTGTACCTGCTAGCAGTCACTCCCCATTCCCATCTTATGCCATCACATTAATAGCTTTAGGATTGACTTCTTTCTTCCTTCCAGATCTTGGTACCGATGGAATCATCCCACCTACCTCCACTGAGACCAAAAAGTTTCTCCTGCTCCACCTGGCCCTGTATTCCCCCTGGAAGGAAGGGAGTCATGCCTTCTATGTACGGACAGATTGGTTTCAGAAGAATGGAAGAAAATCCCCACTAGCAATGAACCCAGACTCTTGTCTTCTTCAGGAGCAAGGTCCTCCAGAGAGCCAAACTGTGACTGAACCAAGTGCAGACTCCTAATGCTCTTGAAATATACAGCCCCTCCTAGGAGCTTACCATTTTCACCTTCCTTGCCTATGCCCTTGCCTTCTAGTTCCAAATATTTTAGCCAGCTCACTGTGGCAATAGTCTCTCAGAGAAAAGACTTGCTGTTATTCTCCAACTCATCTGTGAGCTTCTGGGGACAGCCAGTTGGCTGGGATGCCAAACACCAGAGGGGGAGTTAATAGTTTTGACTCTGAACTTGGCCACAATCCCTGAACTGATCCCAAAATCTGTGAAAAGATTTGAATCTGAGATCTCCACCAAAGCCTTGATGTTTTCTCTGTACAGCTAAGTTTTCTGATGGAATCTTCATCTCACCCCATTGTCTTTTTAACCTCGTCCCCATTTCTACAACCAAATCCATTCATCCTCACACCCTCCAGGTTCCCTGCTTTCTGCAGAAGGTGTAAAAGAGCTGCCCTTGGTGGGTACCCTGGGCACGTTGCTCTGCCCACCGGTGCCCTTCTGTCTGTCCGCGTCTGCCCCGGGCTCAGGAATGCCTGTTCTTTCCCTCCCTCCCTGTGTTTCTCTTTATCCTGACCCCTCTCCTTTCTCCAGGCAGCAGAAGAGGAAGAACACAAGAGCAAACACACAACAACAATGGTGGCAAAATACCTGTATATAGCCCTTTCCCATTTTTTGCATTATGTTCTTAACTCCTTAATGTGGAATTTTCCAGCAAAACATTTAACTCAGGTGTGATTTTTGAAAATGTCTTTGTAATATTTTATCTTCTTTAAAAAGGGGGGAAAATACCAAAGTGTGAAATACTGTGCTAGCTTCCAGAGTTCCCACATGGGCTGGGAATCTTTTTTTTTTTTTTTTTTTTTTTTTTAAATACACGGAGTCTCGCTCTGTCACCCAGGCTGGAGTGAAGTGATGTGATCTTGGCTCACTGCAACCTCTGCCTCCCAGGTTCAAGCGATTCTTCTGCCTCAGTCTCCTGAGCAGCTGGGATTACAGGTGCATGCCACCATGCCCAGCTAATTTTTGTGTTTTTAGTAGAGATGGGGTTTCACCATGTTGGTCAGGCTGGTCTTGAACTCCTGACCTTGTGATCTGCCTGCCTCAGCTTCCCAGTGTTGGGATTAGAGGCATGAGCCACCACGACTGGCCTGGGCTGGGAATCTTTGTTGACTTCTTTGGGAACATTATCTCTAGAGTCTCCTTTGTGGGCCAGTGTGTACATATGTAACATGAAGCCATTCCAGAAATGGTAACTTAAGGAAAAAAAAAGACTATATGTCTAGGAAATTGGTGAGATTCAAAGGAATCTCTCTGTTCCTAAATAAATGTGTATAGTGATTATGAAAAGTATTCCACCGTTGATAAGAAGAGGTTTAGATTCTGTGCTGTGCCTTTTTGTTGTTGTGGGGGCATGTGAGTGCATATAATGAAATGGGATGGCAAAAAATGTTTCAAATTGGGACATTAAGTGTATTACTTCCCAAACTGATGCTAAAAATGGCATATGTTATTACAAGGCCCTGAAGGAGTCTGTGTTATTACTCTCTGTAACAGAACTACCTTGAGGGCAGAGTAGGCAAGAGATATTGTAAGTGGGAGGATGGTGAGTGTTTAAGGTGAAGTCATTTGGACACTTAAGAGGTGGGGACTGAGGCTGATATCTCATGTCTCAGATACCCTGAATGGCAATTATTCGTTACTCACAACATAAAGCAATAAATGTTTGAGGCAAAGGATATTTTAATAATCATATATTAGCTGGGCTTCGTGGTGCATGCCTATAGTCCCAGCTACTGGAGAGCCTGAGATAGGAGGATCTATTGAACCCAGGAAGTCAAGGCTGTAGTGAGCCATGATCATGCCACTGCACTCCAGCCTGAAAAACAGAACAAGACCCTGTCTCAGATATATATATATATATATCTTCTTGTGACTTCTGGTGAGGAGATTGAGAGGCACCAAAGTTATTCTTGCGGTTTTTCTTAAATTAATACAAATTTAGATAGTTACCATTGCAGATTGTAGTGAGCCAAGATTGTGCCACTGCACTCCAGCCGAGGTGACAGAGCGAGACTCCGTCTCAAAAAATAAAATAAATAGTTGCTATCGCTGAGGTAAACACTGACCTGTGGGAAAGAGAGACCCTTCAACAATGTAATGGCTGATGGGGAAAAAGTAAAATTGGGATTAAACAGTTGTTGCAAATAATAATATCCACACAGGAAACGTAAATATTAATAATTAAGAGTTAACCGGCCGGGCACGGTGGCTCAAGCCTGTAATCCCAGCACTTTGGGAGGCCGAGGCGGGTGGATCACGAGGTCAAGAGATCAAGACCATCCTGGTCAACATGGTGAAACCCCGTCTCTACTAAAAATACAAAAAATTAGCTGGGCATGGTGGTGCGTGCCTGTAATCCCAGCTGCTCAGGAGGCTGAGGCAGGAGAATTGCCTGAACCCAGGAGGCGGAGGTTGCGGTGAGCCGAGATCGCGCCATTGCACTCCAGCCTGGGTAACATGAGTGAAACTCCGTCTCAAAAAAAAAAAAAAAAAAAAAAAAAAAGAGTTAACCGCTCCATGATGTTTGAATGGGGCTTTTAAGATTTCTATTTCATGTCACGAAGTGGGAGAAGGCCTAAGGGTAACATTTACTTTCTCAAGAAAAGATCGAGTTAAAAGGGGCTGGGTATGTAGCAAAGAGACAGCAAAAAGAGCCTTCAGCAGTAATTAAGGGGACTGCTCCACCAGCCACGAGCCCATCTGTGCATATGTCTGCACACATCCACATGCGTGCTTGCATTCCTCCCTGTACGCTCGTGGATGCTAGAGCTGACCTTTTCTACAGCAGTCTTGGCTACCTTCACATCCTACTCAGGTGAGTGTTAAAAGCGGATCCTTTGCATTGTCCGAAACTTGGATTTTCATCCATTTGCCCATGATTTTTTATGAAAGAAATAAACAGAATTGTAGCCTGTTCAGACTCCAGTAGCTTTTCTTGCCAACCAACTTGGACATTGCTGAACAGAGTCAAGCCTGAAAGTGAGCAGGGTCACCTTTCATGTCTGCATGATTCTGTACAATCCGTAATTCCAGGGAAGTTTAACGGAAGCTTCATTTGCTGCCTCAGCATCTAACTAGGGACAAGACAATCTCAGGGCAACCGCCAGTCATTGCCAAGGGAGGAAAGAAGATTGATGCTACTGCTTTTCAAATTTTATTTCATGCTCTGAATGTTTAGTTGACTCAAAACGTGTGGGCCCAGCTGTGTGCTCCTAAGACAAAGTAGGGACTTTTGGTCTGACATACAGACTGAGTTTATTAACCCCAGGACTCAAAGCAGGAACCCTGGCCCGAGCTCCCAGAGGGCCCCTTGTGCCCTCTGTATGCCCCCGCCATAGCTCACTCACTCACTGTTCTGCCTCGTCCCTGTGTCGGGGGGACCTCCTTGCAGTTGAGGCTTTTTTTTTTTTTTTTTTTTTTTTTTTTTTCTGTATCCCTGTGGCTAACATTGTGACTAGCTCATAACAGGCAATTATGATTTTTAAATATAAAATTCCCTTTTTTTCCTCAACTTTCAATGCCCTTCACTGAGGAAGGAGTTGTGAATACAGGAGAATACAATGCACATCTGCAGGAATTTTTAGGTAAGTGGAGGCAGCATATCTCAGTGCTTAAAGCCATTGTCACGCCAGACTCCTATTGACTTCAGGAGGGATAGCATTAGATTCAAGAGGCCAGAAACCAAGAGCCAACAATTGCGACATGGGGTTTGTTGAGGGGAACTTACTTAAGAGGGATCCAGTGGCTGGACAGGAGAACCACCACTGCCTGCAGGAAGCGTGCAGTTTATATAGCACTTCCTCTTAACACCCTCTGGCTAACAACCTCCACCTGGCAACCTTCATTTACCCCAAAACAAAGGGCCTCAGCCCCCTGTATGACCCACATTCCAAGGGCTGGGCCAGGGGCTCAGATTTTCCTCATAAAGAATGAATCTCTGGGTTGGCCACGCTTGGAACACTAGACACACATTCAGGTGCATCTGTCACACAGGGTCATTCTCAGGGTGTACAGTACTGAAGTTACCCCTGTCAGGTGCATCTGTCACACAGGGTCATTCTCAGGGTGTACAGTACTGAAGTTACCCCTGTCAGGTGCATCTGCCACACAGGCAGATCTCTAGAGTCGTAGTGCCTGGGTTTTCACCCTACTCTGCCTCCTACTAACCGTGTTACCTTGGGAAAACCTTGACTACCCCACAACTCAGTTTCTTGCTGTAAAATGGAGATAACAATAGGTCCCATCCCATAGAATTGTTGGTGAGGATTAAATGAGTTTATATATATAGAGTGCTTGGAACAATGCCTGGTACATTAACAAGGGCAATATAGGTGTTATTTGTGATTATTGCAATTATTATTCTCGTTGTTGGTGGGGAGCTTCCCGATTCCTGCTTTCCCTAACAGCCCAGAATTTCTGGGGGATGCTACTGTTGACACAGATCTGATGTGATGGAACAGGGATTGTGGCTAGAGGTAGACACATCAACAAAATTTAATCCCAAGTCATGAAGCTTGAACCTAGAATCCCAATCACCCTAGGATAAAGGCCCAATATTCTAGGAAGAACTGGCTCCTTCCCTTTTCCCTTATCCCCTCAGCCTTTAGACTCCTTAAGACTTTAGTACTCTGTTTCTTTCATGGGAAATGATGGCAGCAAGAAGAATGTCCAGATTCAGATACCAGAAAAAAAGATTCTGCAACAACAACAAATGGGGAGGAGGTTGAGTTCTGCATGCTCTCCATTCAGTGAAGTGGATCCTTCCATGTTTCACTTCTCCAGACTATCATTACCTCTTATCGGGTCTAACCCAACACAGGTGTAACAGGCCTTCTCCAATTCATCTTACACTGATTTTAATTGGGTATTCCTAGAGCTGGGCTTCTCAACTTTGGTTGCACATTGGAATCATCCAGAGAGCTTTTAAAATGGTTGATTTCCACACAGAGATTCTGATTTACTTTGTTTAAAGTGTGGCCTGGGTATTAGGATTTTAAATAGCTCCCAGGTGATTCTATCGTGCTATCAAGGTTAAGAACTAAGGCCCAACTGTGTATAGGAATCACTGAGAAACTTGTTAAAATGCAGATTTTTTTTTTTTTTTTTTTGAGATGGAGTCTCGCTCTGTCGCCCAGGCTGGAGTGCAGTTGCACAGTCTTGGCTCACTGCAACCTCCACCTCCCAGGTTCAAATGATTCTCCTGCCTCAGCCTCCCGCATAGCTGGGATTACAGGCATGCACCACCATGCCCGGTTAATTTTGTATTTTTAGTAGAGATAGGTTTTCACCATGTTAGCCAGGCTGGTCTGGAACTCCTGACCTCAGGTGATCCACCCACCTCGGCCTCCCAAAGTGCTGGGATTACAGGCATGAGCCACCGCGCCCGGCCCCTAAAATGCAGATTCTTGTTTGGTAGGTCCGGGGTTAGGTTCTGAGATTCTGAGTTTCTGATGCATTCCAAGGTGATGCAGATTTTGCTGGTCCATAGAGCACACTTTGAATAGCAAGGGCTTGGAGAACATGATAATATGATGCCTGTGTTCAATCATGGGCTTCCACGTAATAAGATATTTCAGCTTGGCATCTTAGGTTGGCATCAGAGGCATTTAGGGCCCCTAACAGCAATGGTTATCAAATGTGACCATCTGAATGACTCCTGGGCAAGTTTAAACAAATACAGATCCCTGGGCCCCATACCAGACCTACTAAATCAAGATATTCAAGGTACAGCCCGCACAGGGTATTTGAAAACACTTCCTAAGTGGCATAGATGAGCAACACATTTTAAGAATTGTGATATGGTTCCATTATAGTTTTCCAGGCTCCTTCCCCATTAATTCAACAAACAAACACTTTTTGTACCTGCCTTGTGCTAGGTCCTAGGGAAACAAAGATGAAACCAGTGCCATCCTTACCTTTGAAGGGTTGGTCAGATAAATGACGAAAACTAGAATATTTACTATTCCCCAGGGATGGTCTAAACACTCAGATCTCTGCTAATGGTCTTCACCTTTTAAGAATGTCTGGGTCCCTCAGCACCCAGGATTGCCTGTCCTGATCAATCAATCCAGACACCGTCTTTACTCAGCTAATTTTTGTATTTTTAGTAGAGATGGGGCTTCACCATTTTGGCCAGGCTGGTCTTGAGCTCCTGACCTCGTGATCAACCCACCTCAGCCTCCCAAAGTGCTGGGATTACATGCATGAGTCACCTTGCCCGGCCTGGAGCCTCCATTCTTATCGCTCAAACTTACTCTGCTCCATATTAAAATAGACCCAGAGAAGAAAAGGATTTACCCAAAGTGAAATAAAACAGTTGACATTTATTTAGTGACTTCCATGTGCCAGTCATTGTTCAAAGCACTTTACATATATAATCTCTAAAAATTCTCAAAATAACCTTATGAGATAGATATTATCAGTATCCCCATTCCGCGGATCAAGGAAAGGGAGGCAACAGAAAAGTAACTTGCCCAAACACATACCAAGCAAGATTCACTCTCAAGCCTTATGCTTTGCTGCCAAGTTGGAGACAGGGCTGACACTGGAATACTGTAACTTCTAATTCTCAGGCCTGAGCACTTTCCTGCTCATCACTTCCTGTTCCATGACTTAAATTCAAGCACGAGGGCAAGAAGGATGTCTGACTTCCCCAACAATGCCTAGTAAGGGTGCAAGCACTTAGTAGGTACTCGATACACGATGATTGGATGAGCTGTCTCTCGAGGGGAGGGGAGGAATGGATAATGATTTAAACAAACAACAACAGCTAAACAAGAGCAGCGGCCCGCAGGTCTCACGTCACCGTTAGATCCCTCTTTATCCCCCCGCCAGAGAAGTAGGACCCTCCCGCGCGCTTTCAGAACTTCGGTGGCCCGGCCCCGGCTCTGCGCTCCATCCTCCCAGCCAGCAGGTGCCCCCAGACCCCCGGCTCCTCCTCCGCCGCCGTCACAGCCTTGTCCTCCAGCTCTGGTTCCTCCGCTTCCTGTTGCAGCTATCTGGGCCCCGAGCTGCGGGCGCCTGGGCGCCCGAGGCTTCCCGGTACGCTCTGCCAGGTAACAGCGCGGCGCGAACTGCCCGGCCGGGGTGGGCACCGGGCCTGCACGTCCCATTGGTGGGGAAGGAGGCGGCAGAGGGCCCAGGCCGTCCTCCGAGGGGGAGCGGCCCTCCTCCTGCCTCGGGCGCCCGAGGCCTTCCTGCTCCAGGCTGCGGCGCCGGCGGGATGCAGGGATAACGGTGCTTGGCTCCGGCTCCCGGTCCAGGCGTGGCCAAGCGTCTCAGGCACCGCCGCGCGGAGATGCGATCGCGGTCCCTGCGAGGCCTCGGGGCCAGCCACGCCTGCTCCAAGGCTCCTCGTCAGCCTGGCCCTGGAACGGGAGAAACCGGGAGAGGAGCCTTGGGCTTTGGAGCGGCGATGGCCTTCCAAATGCCCTTCCGTTCTTTGAGAAAAACCAAGAGCAAAAGGCCGAAACCCACACAGGGAGTTCCCAAGGTCACAGAGTGGTGCCTGCCATTTACGAATGTCTGTTCTTTTATTTAAGTGTTTGTAAATGGGCTACTGTTTTCTCTGTTCTGCCAAGGATTTAGGATTCATAGAAAAGGACTCTAAAAATACTAATTGGCATATCCAAATGAGCTGATCCGCATTACTGGCCAGTGACCCTGGCCTTTAAAAGGAGATAAGGGAGGACGGTTCTTTTCACGCGGGACACTTTGTATTTCTGGCCCTTACTCTAAGAATTGGCCTTGATATTTTACAAAGTTTATCTCAGAACTTCATGTCAGAACTGGACCGGACTGTAGAGATCTTCAGTCCTAGCCTCTTTCTTTTCTTTCTCTTTCTCCCTTCCTCCCCTTCTTCCTCCTTCTTTTCTTTTCTTTTCTTTTTTTTTTTTAACGGGTTCTAGAGGTTAA